TTGTTAATAGAATCACATTTTGTTAGTTGATAAACTAAAGTCATAGATATAAAATAAAATAAAATATATGTTTACTTGATATAAAATTTATGTTAAGTTGTTGTAATGAAATTAAAAAACAAGTTATGGTTTAAAATGCTTGACTTATAAACTAACATTTAGTATGAAGCTAGAGTCATATTATTATTCCATCTGTGTCAAAGATGGGATTTTAATAGAACTTTAAACTTTTTGATTTATGAAAATATAAAATGATACTATAATGAACGAAATTAATAACTTAATATGAACAGTAACTACTATTCTTAACTTTCCTTATTATTAGATGCTTAAATTTTTTTTGTTTTTATTGTGGTCAAATAAACTTTGAAAGTAATAGATTAAGTATTTCTTAAGATTCGTGATGAAACAGAACACAACTTTAACAAACACTAGATTTTGACCCGCGCAACCGCGCGGATGTTTGTTTTCGTGTATAGTTAGTTATATTAACATTTTGTTTTCACTTGTAAATTGGTATATATTATATTAATCACATATTTACAATATGTATAGTAAATGTTTTCAAACATAATAATATTATATAATACGTGTTTTAATCAAATAGATTGTTTCAAATTTTATATATTATACATGTTTTTCAAATATGTGTTTGTTTTTTCTTCTATATTTTATTGTCTGGTAGATTAGTATTTCATTTTAGATAAATTAATATAAATAGAGCTTGATTAAATACTTCATAAATTAATATTATAAAGAATTTTATTAAAAAGAATTTTTAAAACAATATTTTTTTAAAACAGTATAGTTTTAAAATTTTACAAAAAAATAAATTTATCTAGTATATATAGCGTGTAAATTTTGTTAGGGTATATAAATATTCCATATTACGAATCTGTGATTTTTGTTAATATATTGTGGATGCATTTAACTATTATTGACATAGTTCTTTATAAATAATAAAAGATTCCTAAACTTATATCTATTGACATATTTTGCGTGACTAAGTTGGAAGGTGTGTGGTAATTTACCAAAACCAAATTGTTAAGCGTATCTTTTTTATTATACATATGATTTTTATAAGATATAATAATAATAAGATTATTAGAGAGTTAATGTAACATGACTTTCTAGTAATAGTCCATTTTTAAAAAAATTACACATGAAGTCAAGTCATGACTTCTGTTTTAATATATAAGATGTTAAAGAAGTAAAGATCTTCAGAGTTGACACACTTCAAAGGGTTCAACTATATTTGGCAAGTTTTAATGACTTGCCAAATTGATTACGTGCCGAATTTCTTAAACGCTCCGTCATTATAATTGATTCATATAAGTTTGTTACACTGGGTGAAACTTTATATTTGGCAGTTTGAAAGGAATAGTTTTATATAGTTTGTTTGATAATCGTGACAAAAAAAAAATGTAGTTTGTTTGATATCTTTAATTATTGTAAATATGTACTTGTAGAAAGAAGTACCTTAGAGGATTCCACCTATTCTATATGTCGTGTATCTGTAAGAGCTCAACTATCAATGGGTTGTTAAACAAAATTTAAAGAGAAACTTCTGTTGACTAGGCAACTTAATTTTATTGTGAACCACATTAACAAAGTGGTATACGTTGCTCTGAATTGAAGAAACTATGAACATTTATAGTATACGTTAAAACTATATGGAATGGTATTAACGATAAGCACATCACCAATCCCAAAGTGAATAAGATTAATTGTGTGTAAAAAGAGTTGTTTGGTTTTTGGAAAACGCATTGATGCGGAAAGTAACTACATACAGTACTATTAATTAAATTGTTGATTAGGACATTTGTTCAGGGATTTGCTTAGATTTGGTCTTTAGAGGTCTTGTATCGATCATATTGACATAATGTAAAATGCAAAAGCAAGTCTCTCACTGAGGGCACATGTAGTCTTGAAATGAGGAGAGGAAACAGGAACAGAAAGGGTATAGCAAAGTGTTATATTATTCAACTCATTAAATCATAGTGATTAGCTCAAGTGTATGTTGAAAAGATGAGAACATAAGTATACTTTGACCAATAATCGAATTATTTTTGGGGAGAATTTTTTTTGTTGATCAGTAATCGAATTATTTTTGACTTGGAGATATGCGCATATTAAAACCAAAATAAAACCTTCAGTGTAGAGATATTGTTACAAGAAAATCAAGCAAGAGACTCTTTTTAATAAGTTGGTGTGTTATATTTATCGGATTCTAAAACTAAGATATTGTAAGAAATACACGACTTTTAAGACATATCATGTGATGTTACGATGATCTAGAAACATGAATATATAAAGCTATAACGTTCCGTTTAATTTTGTTAGAGACTTATACTTGATTTTACCAACTTGGCTGAACACAATTACGTTTCTTTGTCACTGACAATCGACTCTCGCTTGAATACTAGCTCTATTAATAAAAAAAATGTTCGAACCTCCAGATAAATCGAACACTAACTCTGTTTTTATGACACTTACAAGTGATTCAACTAAACAAATCCTATCGGCCGGGTCAAACAAAGTTCCGACAAGCAGACTTATAAAAATGTTGCATAATGCATAAACCAATAATCTTTCTTAGGGGCTAGTGACCAATAATTAGTTGGGCAGTTTATAAAAAGAATGTGGCATAAGTTTAAGGTTATTTAGTCGTTTGGCAAGGCTCCCCATCATAGAAAGATAAGATATAAGGTAAAACTAATAAGTTTTTCCCCATATATTAAAATCGTATGATTACTTTGTCGTCTAACTAGACGCACATAAGTATAAAATAGTAATCTAGAGTTAGGGTGCATGTGAAAAAAAATATAATTTGGTTGACGGGATCATGTTTCGGTGGCCTTTTAACATCTCAAAACAACAAATGAATTAACATTACATAATTAGACAGAACAAACATTATAATAATTTGTATTAACATAATGCAAAAGTTAGGCAAGAGGACTTTCCGCACTCTAGACTTGTTGAACTTTGGCACATCAGTTTACAACCACAACAACTTTTAACATTAACTAGAGGCAAAATGACTACACAAACCAAATTTCCCTCTTTAAAATCCACAAACATAAAAAAAATTGTAATCCAGTTCACTATTATGTATACTTAACAATATCCATTTAATGGAAACCAATACGTCGATCTGATTCTCAACTTTTATTATTGTGAAAAATGAATTTTGTTTTTCAAATTCCCATCTTTCAGCATATTATGAGCATTTTCCAACTAATATCCTCCACAGAGTTTAAGATGTGATGATGAGATTTCGTTTATCGCAATTTTGACATAACTTGGGTGTTATTAAATTTGTAAGTTTCTTATAATTAAGATATTTTAAACTCTATGATTTGGTTTCCTCTTAAATGTCATTGCATTATAGATCTATCATCTTATTCTTTTGGGACAAATATATAAATCCAAACAGACTATATAAATTCTACTTTGATCGCAATCAATTAGCTGATGTACATCTAATGTGGTGTTATTGTTTAAAACAATATTGTTTAGCTATTTTCTTTAAAAATTAAAATTTGATCATTTATAGAAATCAAACCCCCACAAAAGAAATCAGATTAAACAACTTAAACTACTCTACTGAAGCAATTTTTTTAACACTAATAGTACAAAAACAAGATATATATATATATATATATAATTAAATGAATTTAGAGAAATCAGGTGAGACTCAATCGGCATGAAAAATCATTTATACTACTCGAAGTCTAATTATAAACTAACATATGTTGGTTGATCAGCACAAAATATGGCTGCAATGGGTAAATATAGCAATGAATCAAAATAAAGGGAATAACATACAGGAAAAACAAAATAGATTCATTTCAGTAATTTCTCATCAAAGTTGTTATGAAACGATTTCTTTTGTATTTTTCTTATTGATTTGTGGAATTTATGGAAGTACCTATTCCATATCCGTTTAAGTCAAATGGTAAAGGAAATTTGTAAAATTAATAGAATAAGTCATTTCACACTATTTCATTTCACTGTATGTCATTTCAGCAATTGGTATTTTTATAATCACGTTAATTACTCAGATATTATAATGTTTGCGTGGAAGGGATCCGGATGTCGTAAAATTTAGAGTATCTGAATCCGTAGTTTTAATATCTAAATTTAGATTCGTATTTTTTGGATATCCGGAATTTGGATATTCGTCTAGAAATTATGATATTTGTAGATATTCGGATCTCAATCTGTAAAAAATAAAATAAAATATTTTTAAAATACAAAAATTCTTAATAATACATAAATTAAATACTTACACAAAATTTATAAATATATTTATGAATTAAAATATTACTAAAATTTAAATATAATATTATAAGACTAATTTTTATATATAAATATTAATATATTAAATATAATTATTTATTAAAATTAAAAATTTAATATATTTTAGAAATATGGATTTCGGATCGGATCTCGGATAATAGTCCCAGCACTGGTGGATCCATTCACCAACCCAGCTAACTAGAGTTATGTTGATTATTAGTGTGAACTGTATGATGTCCCCTAAACGTCTATAAACAGAGTGGTTGTTTATTTAGCGAAAGGGCCCAAATTATTGGCCCAATATAGAACTCAACATTTAGTTGTTGTTCCATTATTAGCGAAGCCACATGTACGTCGTTTTTATGTCACAGTAACATTCCGCTCTTCTACTTATCTAGAGGAATAATATAACAGTAGCACTAATAATAAAAGAGTAAATGTGCATTTAGTATTACATACTTTGGGAAAAAGCGAAACGTCTTTTACCTTTTCTGCACTCTCCAATCAAAATTGCAGAAGATATTCAAAGTTGTTGCAGAGAGAGTGTTGTGTTGTTTCCCATACCGAATTAGGACGGAAGATCAAAGTTTGCGTCTTTGAATCGAGGTAAACCGATCTGCCATTGATTTCCTTTATTGAGCATCACTTGAACACTTTTGAAACAGAGAGATAGTTTAGTCTCTCTCTCTCTCTTGATGTTTTGTGTAGTGAGGATGCAGAATGATAATGATGTGGTGAAGGAAGATAATGTTGAAGAATGGGGGAACTGTTCATCAGCTGAAAATGTTCCATCTTTTCAACAAGATGATGAACAAGCTGCTTCTAAAGTTCCTTATGTTGCTGATAAGGTGGTGGTGATGAGTTGCTTCTTTTTTTTTCAAATTGTTTGCAAGGTTTAATGTTACTTTTTGGTTCCAATCCTTCCTGTGCTATGCTGCAGGAACCACTCTCTAGTTTGTCCCTCGAGCAACTAGATGACATTCTCCAAGGAAGTGAGGAGTCTATAAGGTGGGATTGACTCTCTATCTAGTGTGCTATTTAATTTGCATTTGAGTTTGGATAAGTTCTGAATTTCTTAAAATGGTTAGACGTCTCTTCTCATATTATATAATCCTCTCTTCTTACAGCTACGAAGAGCTGGTTAATAGAAGTAGAGATCAGTCTGTCTCTGGCTACAGTAAGCACACTCTATGTATCTTATATGTCCAAGTATCCAACTAAACGTAGTTTTTTTTGACAAATTCTGGGTGTCTCAGTTGTAATGTTCTTCAGGTTTGTCACTGCTGGTGAAATACGAACTCGTGCTGAGTTTTTCGACCCCTTTATAACAGGATTATCCAACACAACAGTGGATCAGGTTTGTTACACACTTATAAAAGAATTAGTGCATAGGTGAACGCAAATTCTAACATTGTTTTTTCTGATCATATAGTTCTGCAAGTCATCGGTTGAACCGATGGGAGAAGAGAGTGACCATATCCACATAACGGCTTTGTCAGACGCGCTTGGTGTTGCAGTCAGGGTTGTGTATCTTGACCGTAGCTCATGTGATAGTGGAGGTGTCACTGTGAACCATCATGACTTTGTTCCTGTGGGCACCAATGAGAAAGAAGAAGCTTGTGCTCCTTTTATAACCTTGCTGTATCGTCCAGGCCATTACGATATCCTCTACCCCAAGCCGTCTTGTAAGGTATAAACACTTGATCGCTATATAACCTCTCTTCCCTTAGATTTTGCCTGGTTTTAAGTTAATGGTTGTGTTTGTTACAGGTATTGGACAACGTGGAGAAATGATCATTTTACATATCATAAACTGAATTAGATTGCTCCTTGCTTATGATAAAAATAAAAACCTTTGGCAACATCAGAGAATGGACCTGTTTTGTTTTACTAAATAATATATTCATGAAAGTTTCCTTCTGCAGTGTACCAAATTGAACCAAAGGGTCCCCATACAACCAAATACAGAGGTATAAGTTTGTTTTGATGACTTCTTTAATGTCTCTAAATTGAATTTGAATGTATTCATGATAGAAACAAACTTTTTGGACTATTGCTTATGTAGTATAGAATAACAAATTTTGGCAAAAGGTTTATCACTAAGAATGGCTTATTCGATCAGTTGGAAAAAGAAAGTGGAAAGATTTGTTTTCCTTTGTAAAAGATGTGAAACCTTGGTAGGAAAGGAAGTGTATGTACTTGGAATTGGCGTGTTGTGTTTATATTGAAGGGTGAACTACAACAGGAGCCTCTACTTGCATTGTTAAGTCTTTAAACTGAAGAGCTATGATTGGTTTTGATAGCATCACTGCTACACTTAACCGCAGCCTTTCATTTTCAAGCGACTCTTGTGATGTGTGATTCCTATCTCCCTCATCTTCCAAAGGATTTGATACTACCGCAGGACTCACAGGCCTCACCCTGAAACAATTTTCAATAGAGATTCCTTGTAATAAACGTTGTCCACTATACTATCAAGACATTGACATAAGTAGAAGTAGAAGCAGAAGCATTACCTGCAGTGGATGTGGCAAGAGTACTTGAGCAGGTTTGGGTTATATTTTGTATTACCACTGCCATTATTTGAAATTCTTGATGAGCTTTACTAGCCAAGAAGTCTCCCATGAAAAAACAATCAAAATAACCAAACGTGTACCTAAAACTCGGAAGCGACATTCTAATTGTTGGTCCCATCCATTTTCCAAGTTTGGTCTCTGATTCTGAGGTAGCACCAGTTAGATCATAGTTAGATATCAAATTATGAAATAAGTTTTACTCAATATATACTTCAGATGCTAAAGTTAGGCCAATTAGCAAAGAACACACCATCTGATCTAATTTGGATGTTGCAGATATTTGCAGAAGCAGCACTATTATCAACTTCACTAACTTTAACCTCCATCAAATCCTGAGGGTGAGACAGAGTAGTTCCCAACCCAAATGTGTCCAAGAAACCAAAAGCTCTTTCCCTTTGTCTCTTTGGAACTGCAGTGATTTTCTGTTCACAACCAACAAAACCAATATTTACTTGTTGATGCCTCTACTTTATGTACACAAGAGTTTACCTTGTCGTTTCATCATTTGGTAGTTATTGAGAGTCTAAACAGTAATTATTAAAAGAGGTAAATCACTTTTAAGACCAAAGTAAGGCACTAACTTTTGAAAACCTTGCAACTTGGCTTGGGAGTCCTACTTCCTGCAACACCACCATGTTATATAATAATAATAATAATAATAATAATAATAATAATAATAATGCATTATTATCCTCCAACCTCCCAAACATTACATTGATAAAGTGCCAAAGAGAAACAAAGTAAGACCCACCTACCTTGCGTCCGTGATGACAAGCCTCGTTGCTGTTCACAAGCACCCTCGCAGCCCATCTAAAAGAAGTTATTTATTCCCAACTGGATTTAAAAATACTCATGTTTTTGATAAGCATGAATCTATTTAACAGAATATTCCTCAACTTGGTCACTTGAGTAAAACTCTGCTTTGTTAAAGAATGGTTATAATAGTGGATGAAGGAGAAGAATGAACATACGCGCAAGATGTAGGAGGGTTCCATACAATCCCTGCAATCATGACAAGCTGTGAAGCAAAAAAGAAATAGCAGGGAGAGTCTATTAAAAAAGAATGTTGTGGGAAGGGTGATTAAGTTTTGAGTTAAGTAGGGAGAAAAAGGAAAGGCAAGAACAGACCTCATCGAAGACACCTGCAGGACTATCATCATAGCTAGCAAGGAAAAACCCTCCAAGAGTGTATCTGAAGAAGAAAAAAAATCACATAAAGAAAGATAATGTAAACAAGAAAGGAGCCATGTAGAAGCCTTTTTTTATACCCAAAAGCTTCAACTAGCCGAAACTCTTTGGGGATGAATGCTCGAGCAGTGGAAGACTTCACAAGATGAATCTGGTACAACGCACTGAAAGCAAAGCAGAGACTATAAGAAGACTAGAGACACTCTTATAAAGTCTACCCAATCAAAAGAGGTTACTACTTGCCTTCCTTTGAATATCCATGGAGGTTTAGCATAACCAGATGAAACATTCCTTTCTTCAACATCCATGAACTGATGCAAAAAACACATACCTTAGGAGACAAGTTATGAAAAAACCTGAGTGTACAGAGAGCTTCCACAAATCAAAACTTACTAGAGTTCTCAACCAATTAGCAAAGATCCAAAAGAGATATCCAAACAATAAAGCTATAGCAAATAGGGTACATATAAAATATGGCAGGTAACTCAATTAAACCCAAGTTGCCAACTTCTTTTACATGTATGATCTAATTTGGGAATATTTTCCTTTGCAAGAAAATTTCAGGAAATGAAAAATCCCAGAAAAGGAAATAGAAGCACTATGCTCATTAAAAATGGAAAGAATGAATCTTTTGATGACACAGCTTCAAAATGTCTTTTTTTCCATTGAATCAAAACCAAATACAAGGGGGTGTTGAGGCAAGTGGGTTTATTTAACCGTTTATATACTATAAAAAAGTGGAATTTTTCCAAAGATACTTTCTTAAACAATTAGCCAAAAAAAAAAGTAAAACCATTGGCTGAAATCTCTTATGAAACAGAGTGTAACCCAGAAACTGTTGCATTCATGTGTAAATTAAACACTCAAAATTAAATCCAGCGATTGCCGTACATGTAAGGTGAGTAACACAAAGTAGATTCTCAGAACTATTACATTACAAATGCTAATACAAAAAAAAAAAAGAAAAAGAAAACTGAGAAGAAACTAAAAATGTAAGTACAATAGAATAAATTATCCAAACCTCGTTCCCAAACCCTCTGGAGGATAAAATCTTGAAGAAGATTCAGATCGAGCGAAGGTTTCGGTGTGTAGTTGAGAGTTCTATAAGAAAGGAAAAAAAATGATGGAAAAAAATAATAAAAATGGGGATTTTCTCTTATCTGAATTTAAATATTAATTAATATAAAGAAGAGAAGAACCGACAGAGATGTATGTCTGAAGGTTCTCGTTGGTAATAAGAAGAAGAGAGTGAGAAGTGGATAGGCTTTGGTTCCTCTTGGACCAATCAGTGAGACTTTTGTCTTCTTTTTTAAGCTTTTATCTTATTTCGCGCCAATCCGAAGTGAACATCATCTTCCACCTTCTTTCATTTGCTATCGTTTTAATGATTGCCCTCATTTGTCTATAATTAAACTAGGAATAGTTAGGTTTAAACCTTTTGTTTTGTTTAAACTTGGTTTAAACTTTTGTGAGAAAGATAACTTGAACTAGAAAAAAATGTGATAATTCTGAAAGCGCCACTGAGACTTTAAGCAAAATGTGAAACACATCAACAAGTTTGTTTAGATGACTTGAAGTTTTTAAACATTGTAGGAGGTATGGAACTTTTTTTGTTATTATTGTAACATGTTATTTTAACTTACACAAAATAACAACATGTTATTTTAACGTAGATATCCAGTTTATCATAGATACCAGAAATACGAAATATAATTTAGAGGCTAGTTTTTAATTTTTAATTTATTACAAACTATTATCTCAATCAAAACGAGTGAATCTAGTTCTTGCATCGTATGAAATACTATGAATAACTTTTTCACAAACATTTCCATTTGTATTACAGATATATAAGTTATAAGTATGCATGGCATTGGCAGGTGCACTATTACTACATTGGACTAGAAAAAGGTTCTATAGTTAATTTATCATATTTTAATTTATTCTTATTTAACTTACATTAAATAATTGATTCTATAAAATTATAAATGTTTTTTTTTGTTTCATTACGTTTATTATCATTATTGTAATTATCTTTTGTATTACTAGATTGTATTTTGATCCTTTCTGATATGGTATTTATAACAACCAAATGAAACATATTATAGTGGATCAATATAGATTTTGAACATTAATAGATCACCAAATTTTACTCCAAAACAAGTCAGTATAAAACAATTAGACAGCTAAAACTAACTCAATGACTACCAAATTTAGACGACTATTTATTTTTAACAGATAAATACTCAAAATTTCTTTTCAAAATAAAAATGACTTTGAAATTAAGAAATCATCATGAATTGTTAAAACAAACAATAAACTCGCAAAATCATAAGAAAAAAATGGATTGCAAAAGATATTTGCATGCTTTCATTGTGATGTCAATCATTGCTATGTTCTTGGTTTCAGGTCACTCTACAATAATTATTATATTTACATCCGATGAATACATATTCAGTTGTTTACATTTTTTATTGATATTAATAACAAAAATTACAATTAAGTCTCGTTTCTTACTTTTCTTTTTACCAAATCGTTTCTTACATTTACCAAAACATTACTTGAAGAAGGGAGTATATTTAACTCGTCTTGTGACTATGCAGGTTAAGTAGATGCTGCTCGTGCAAATATAGTCCCGGACCATGTACAAAACAATGCAACTTTGTGTGTTCAGGCTTCGGCTTTATATATGGAGGACATTGTAAGGGGACCAAATGTTGCTTCAAAAGAGCAGCATCCGATCTACAAAGGCCAACATCAAACTAGACTTCTTCGGGCATTCTGTTTGATGTACTCTTAATAATATGTTTGCATCTTGTTATCATTCCATGATGCATGATATGACGAAAATAATATATAATCCTGTGACACCTAAAATTTTAAAAAATCCAGTTTACAATTAGTGCAGCACAAAAACATCTTTAAAGATTTATATATATATTTATGAAATTTTAAATTTTATTTTTTTCAAGGAGTCCATGTGTATTAATTATAATGAAAAATAAAAATATTATATAAATCTACATACATGGTAAATCTAATTTTTAGTATTTATATATAGTGAAAAAGAAAACGTCTGTGAGATTATTAATAGACTAAATGGACCTATAGACCAAGTAGTGGTAATTAGTGATTGAAAGTGTTCATATTTTTCTTGTATAATTTGTATCATCCCACTGTGATATTTCAAATATTCAGTAATCCTTGATCGTATCTATTAATAATCTCACATATTCAGTAATCCTTGATTTTAACTTTTTTTTTTTTTTTTTTTGCATTTTGGTGCGTGATTCCAATCCTCCTTGATCCCATGTACGTAGACGCTTTCACTTCACTGGTATTAAAATCCAACTCTTATGAACCTCAAAAACTAATTTGAGATTCGGTTTAAAATTTCGGAACAAGGCGCAATTGCTTTTTTTTTTAAACACTTTTTGTGAAACACACAAGGCGCAATTGCTTAAGCTGCAGCTTTTATCATTTGTCTATATTAACAAAGTTAAGTGGAAGTGTGGAACTTTAAATATTTTCGATCTTCTATTTTTGAATATCCTAAATCAATCACTTTAGAAACATATCTCACAATCTGCCATTCATAGAGATTCATTATGATCTGTATATTAAGTAAACCTAACTTTTTCCAACATGATTTAATTGCGCGCACTTATAAACAAAATAAAGAAACGACAAGAATATACTCCGTATATAACTATTTAAAGTAATCATCAGATCGAAGGCAGGAAGGCTACGCTACAAATTTTTGGATTTGCAAATCATGTAATGTAGATTACAGATTTAGCCAAAGTTGACAGATTTAGCCTCCGAATAGCATTATCAGATTTTATCAATATCCAACTGAGCGCGGTTGCATTCTGTCTCTGATGGTTAGTAATGGCAATAAAATAAGTGCATGAGAACCGGCTTGGTCGGAGAGCGGAGATGTGAGTTCCAGAAAAGTGATGATAATTGATAACGTACGGTAGGAAACTCCGGATCCTGACGGTATCCCAACTCAGCTGCCAGCTCCTGAGCTTTCTTAACAGCTTTAATATTGGCAATACCGTCAAGGCCAGGAAAGCCAGTATGTGGCAATGCTGAACCAGAAGATGTTCAGCAGGAGTGGAAGTTCTAGCATGTGGACTACCTTCTGATGTTGACTTAGTACTCTATAGATTATTCACCTGAGTAGAAAATGCAGAAATCAATTAATCAAAATACAAACGAACCGGAATAAACCAAGAACTCGGTTAATGCAAAAATCGGAACCAAGTGCTGTAAGAAGAATAATTCAATAATCTATAGCTGACGGTCCGGTCCACTCGTCAAGCTTCCGTTATGGGCTGAAGCCCATCTATTCCCTTAAAATTAATTCTTTTGATGGGCCTCCTAATGTAGTAACCATTTTTCTTTGTTTTCTATTTGTCTTGTTTTTTTTATTTTTTGTCAACAAGCTTCTACTCGTCTTATTTAGTTTTTATGGATTTCATATCAAGATATTTATACCCGACAAACACATAGTGAATCTTTAAAATATGATTTAATACCATTGTACTCGACGTCACTGTCTTTTCACATTATTGTCTTAAAATATCTCACGAGTTATACGACATGTGCTTTTAGCATATACTAATACTAGATAAAAACCTGTAGCATATACTAGTACTAGATAAAAACCTTTTACCAAGAACCGACCCTACAGAGAAGTTGATATAAGACACCCATATTCTTATAGTCCATGCTCTAGAATTCGCTATGCGCTAATCGGATGCTCGACTCAGGTCTAGCGCCTAACCAATTAATCAGAGATTAATCAATTATTAATTTTCATATTTTTAATTATATGTATATGTATATATACTATATTCTGAGAAAATATAGCGTGAAATTATTGTAGTCCAATGGTTTTTGATACATTTATTGATGTTAGAGGTGGAGAGTTCGAAGTATACGCAACATATTAATTCTTATCTTTTTATTAGTGCAGCAAACGAAAAAAATTTGAAAAAGAATCTACTTATATTTGTTCCATATCGTTTAATAAGAGTGAAAGTGGTTTTAGAATTCCCCTATAAATAATATAGACAAGTTTCCAAGTTTCCGAAAACTTACAGTCGAATGGACTTAATACCAAACCCAAAATTTAACAACAAAGTGCAACATTTTAAAAGGTTAACTCGGTTACAATCTGGGTTTTGACCGATTAATCATTTTTGTGGCCGATTAATCGGTTTTGTGATCGGCTAAACGGTATACCGATTAGTTCCAGTGATTTGATCAAAATCGCGGCAATCAGCTTCCGTTTAACGCTTAGACGGTCGCCTAATCGGCTAGACGGTCGCGTTTTAGAAGAGTTATAATATGTTAAGTGAGGTTCTAAACTAAAAAAAATTGATAGATTTAAAGTTTAGTTATTGAATTAATTTTAATTTTTAGAAAAAATGTTAATTTGACACATGGCATTCAGAAGAGTATCTTAAGAGTACTCTTTTTTAGAAAATTTTATTGTCTAATTCCTAATTTCTATAATTTTTTTTCTTTTTTCTAATTACTTAGATACAACACATTAAGTTCAACTGATGGAGGTGCTATTATCTCCTCTAATTTTGTTTCGTCTACCAACCCGGTGGTGTTTCGAAATACAATGCACATAAGTATAGGATACTAGTAGAGTTTACGTTATCTCGAAGACACAAATGTTTAATTACTACTATATTGGTACTGGTGATTTAATAATGAACCCAAACTCCACAAGTAATTGCTATTTAAGGAATTCCCTAATTCCAAAAAAATCACGTGCTGTCCTCTAACTTTCCCTTTGTAAATTAAAAAAAAAAGATTAGAATGAATGATTAGAAAGGTGAAAAAGTAGATTAGATATTTTTCTCATTCTCTGTCACCTCAACGTCAGCATCGCCGTCTAATAACGAAGACTCACTCCACACACCGTTGGATCAGAATAATTAATTACCATACATCGCAACACAGAGAAGCATTTCCCCCAAACCAAACGCACACTGTTATAGATGACATATACATTTAACCAGACAATAAATACATTTTCTTCCTTTTGTCTTCTTTACTTTTACAAAAGATTTTTGCAGACAAAACCTCTTCGCCTGATCAACATTCCCACCAGACATAATTTGAGATTCATGAGTAGTTCCGAGAGACATCCGTGCGATTTCTGCGGGGAGCGAGCGGCGGTTCTGTTCTGTAGAGCCGACACTGCGAAGCTCTGTCTACCCTGTGACCAGCACGTGCACGCCGCGAATCTCCTCTCTAAAAAGCACGTGCGGTCTCAGATCTGTGATAATTGCGGCAACGAGCCAGTCTCCGTGCGGTGCTTCACCGACAACCTCGTCTTGTGTCAGGACTGTGATTGGGATGTCCACGGGAGCTCCTCCGTCTCCGACGCTCACGTACGCTCCTCCGTGGAAGGGTTCTCCGGTTGTCCGTCGGCGTTGGAGCTCGCCGCGTTGTTGGGAGTCGATCTTGGAGGAGGAGGAGGGAGGAAAGAAGAGAACGAAGGGTCGATGACGATGATGATGACGATGGGGATGGAGAGTTTTGGGATGGAGTTGGATTCGTGGGTTTCTGGATCTAACGTTTTGCAGGAGCTTGTTGTGCCTGTGCCCAAGGAAACGACGGCGTTTAAGAAGCGTGGCTGTGGCTGTGGGAGGTTTAAGGAGTTGTTGTGTAAACAGCTTGAGGAGTTGCTCAAGAATGGTGATGGAGATGGAGAAGGAGAAGGAAGGGAAGGGCTTATGGTTCCGGAGATGAGGGCAAGGGATGCAGAGGAGATTAATAGCGGTGGAGAAGTTATCCAGCAGCCTCAGACGACGTCGTTTACATCTTTGCTGTGGAATGCTGATAATCCTAGTAGTGCTAGTGGTGGTAGCAGGAGTACTCAGGTTTGTGCAATCTATACGTGTCTTTTGGTTCTCTTGGCCTTTAGAAGAGTTTAGGTTTCTTTAACTTGTGAACTTTTGCAGATATGGGATTTTAACTTGGGACAGTCAAGAGACACTAGGGAAGATGGATATGCAACAAAAGATGCTAAATCATTCACAATCAACAGCTTTGTTGACCTCATGAATGATACTTGTTCCACTAAACCCAAAGGTGGTGTTAAACAGATTTGCCAGGTAAACCAGCAGCAACTGTTTTCTTTCTTCTAGTGAATAGAGGCAGACTCAAAACTTGAAAGCTAGTTAGAAAACATGTTATTCTTGTTTTAACCAATGCTAAACATTTTGGTTTGTGATATCTTTGTGTTAGGCAGCTTCTTCATAAGTTTTATCATACATACAACTACAAGTGTTGTGAAATTGTAATGCTTATTATGATTCTTTTTTTTTATTGTAGGATGACTACTATGGATCAAATTCAGGACAGGTACCAGCAACAGCTGAGAGCAACAATCTTCCAATTACCTTTAGCTCTGAGAAAGGGTCAAACTCCTCCAGTGAGTTACGTTTCACTGAAAAAAATGAGGGAGCTAGCTGTAAGACCACGAGAGTACTGGCAACTAAGGCTGATTTGGAGCAGCTCGCTCAGAACAGAGACAATGCAATGCAGCGTTACAAGGAAAAGAGGAAAACTCGGAGGTATATACTTCTTTTTTTACTTTCCCCTTTGAAAAGACTTTTTTTTTCTGTAAGACCATCCCCCACTCGAGAGTCTAAAATACCGTATCTTGTATAATATTGGATGTGAGCAGGTATGATAAGACTATAAGATATGAGTCGAGGAAGGCAACAGCTGATACAAGGTTGCGTGTCAAAGGCAGATTTGTGAAAGCTAGTGAAGCTCCTTATCCTTAAAAGGTCTTTCGTTTAGATAGCTCTCCTACAAGATTATAAAATTAGGAACGTTTTTTTGTTTACTTCCCATCTCGGACATGTATATAGATGGGTCTTGTTTCGTTTGGCCACCCTTGTTTTTTTGTGTGTCGTATATGGCCCCTTTTATGTACCCATGGAAACTTGTCTAGTTTAAAAAGGATTGTCTGGAACTTAGTAGGTAGAAACAAATGATTATGATAATTGTTTTATGGTCAATCTGAATTCTCACCACCGAGTTATATATCATATGCCTTGGGCTAATTATCAGCAACACCACACTTGTTTCTATCTACTGTCATGTCAAATCCTGACAGAGAATGTAATAAGTGGTAAAGAAGAGAAATGTTTTCTCTTGTCAATAAGCTTGTATTACATTCTCTTGTGTAAAGAGGATTATATCGGCTAGCCTGCTATGTGTCGCCCTAAACAAACATCAAGTCGTAGTGACACTAATAGTATTAAGCACCCAAAAGACTTGGTCTAATCTAAAATTTAAATATTTACGGTGAGTTTGATAGTTATAATTCTGTTTGCCTTCACCAAGATTTTCTTGTTCGAAGGACCATGTAAATGAATAATATTATGTTAATATGTTATTTATATCATTTTAATTTATTTTATATTGTTATTATTTTATTTCTTAAATAATTATTAACAACCATAAATATATACTTTCACCAATCAACCAATATTCTGCACCACTTTGTGTTTAAGACCACAATTGTACCTACACTCTAATTCCGCATAAACATAGTTACACCATTCCCCACTTCACTTCTGCATGTTTTTTTTATTATCATATTTACTGTCACCATTCGAACCTATGCTATACGAGTTTTATTAATTGTAGTATATGGTTTCAATTTTTCTGTATAAAATTTGAGTTGTAATTCTCATTTTCACTTTAACAAAATAACGCACCATATTTAACAAAAAATGCACCGCTACTATGTTTTGAATGTTTCGTGCGATTTTGATCTCACTTAAATTATCTTAAGGGGTAAATTACTCTCTCAAATAAGAGCTTCATTTGTAGTACTTAGGAATTGAATCTACAGAGACTTTAGGATTACACACTAGGTTTATAGTTTTTGGAATAAAGCTAGGTGATTGGATTTTAACAATAAATAAAAGGGGTGAACAAGGTAGTTGTTCAGTTGGTTTAAATTAAGATTGTAACAACTTGGGAGATAACTAGATTTAGCTATTTTCTCAGGTATGACATGTATCTTTATTATGGTTGCTAAGAATTCTTAATTACTGTTTATTCTCAAACTCAAACTTATACATAATCTATCAATTGTCGCATGTTTAAATTATTTAAATCGGATCTATTAATCTCGGCTGTCGTATATTGATCAATAGAAAGTGTCGATCAATGGTTCACTATGAACATCGATCGATACTATAGACCAAGCTGTCGCTTGTGCCAATTGATCCTAAGATCTAAGTTGAGGGTAATCAATCATAAACTTAGCATTAAGAACAAACTAGATGAAGAATATAATCAAGTTATTCCTAACAACAATTCATATCAGAATTACATAGATCACCCTTATGAGAAACCTAAATCTAAAAATAAGATTACTCAAACATATTCATGACAAGCATAATCATAATAATCTGAATAATACTTTGAATAAATGAAAAACAGTTAAAAAAGTAATAAAATAGAAAACAAGAGAGTTCAAGATCTTCTCTGGTATACAGTTCATGTCTCTCTCTCTCTCTCTATGGTAGAATACGGCTCCAAGGATGCAATAGAGTATCCAAACTTAGAGTCTCCAAACTTAGGGTTTACAAAATAATATTAGTCTCATAAATAGTTAAACTTTAGACCAGGGACTTGTCTTGCAAAATGGAATACTTCTGGGTAAAATTTGTAGTTTCCCAAAATCATCATTATACTCGCAGGTGTAAGCGCCATCGATCGATGCACATGGTGTCTCATTGATCGATAGTAAGTGTAAAATCCGTCTCCGACTTGGGTCTTTAGGCTGAGCATTCTTCAATGCTCTAAAATGTTCCAAAAACTTCAATTTCTTTGCACAAGTACATGAACCTGTAAATACTCTAAAAATACTCTGGCTGCATATGAAATACTTCAAAAACATATTTAGATCATGGTTTAAAATGGGTAAATCCATCATCTACCAGGTTTACATTGGGAGGAAGAGAGATAATACAAATGGTCATCATTCACATGTGTCTAACTATTGTTCTTTCAATTAAAATCATCAAGAAAAAAATATGTATAGGTGTAGGACACCGATCTAGTGACGGACCGCCTATAGAAAGTACAAATTCTAATAAGGTGTGGTTTATTTTGATTGTTTAATTTTTTGTACTTTACAACTTTACTATTTTAATTTTTTACAAAAATTAATAAACTATAGTTACATTATAAATAAACATTTCACCTGTGTATTTAGTTCATGAATACTTCAAAACTCATATTTTTTTTAACAACTCTTTCAGAGTTACCCAAAAAAATTTGTTTATTTTGGTATTTTAATAAAAAAAATATGAATTGTTATAAAATTTATAAAATTACATAAGAAAGATTCAATAGTAGATTTTAATATTGACTTTTACATTTTTATTCAAAAATAACAAACATCAATTAGTTTTATCTAAAGATAACTAACACAATTATAATTTTTAAAAATAAAATAGGATATTAAATATAAAATCACAATAATATCTATTAAATTTCATATTTCAGATTTATATAAATATTTTTTGAATAATACATAAATATATATGTGTGTGTGTGTTTAAAATTATATTAGCATGTTTGATTTTCTTAATTGTATTATATAAATATATTATATAAAATCCATAGCTACACTATTCATTATATGTCACTATTTCTATTTTCTTTCAAACTGTTTATTTTAGATGAACTGAAGTTGTTCTGCACTGTGCGTTTCCTTATATAAACCGTAATTGAACCACACCACAATATACAATTCGTTTATTCTGCACCGCTCAATCTACTGTTATCATTCAGAGATGAGAAACTTGTGATTGGTAACACCAAGTGGATCCTAGGACAAAAAAATGTCTCGCAACACAAAAATCGCTTACGCAATTCAAACATGTAACGTATCAAAACTGTTTGCTATTTAAGTTATTTTAATTTTGGATTTAAATTTAAGTGGACATCCTGACATTTTATAGAACTTGTAACCGTTTATATGGATATAATTCTGGTCAATAGTCAAATGTAAACATTAACTCAGTTAATAGTCAAATCTTGACAACAGACATACTTTTTAAAATAATAACTCATAACTATAAAAAAGAGAGCACTGATACAAAAAGAGAGCAAGTTCTCAAATTTCAATCTACATAACTTTGTAAAGTTTTTCTTTTTGTAGTAAAATAACTTTGTGGAGTTATGAGGTATGCGATGTTGTCTGTGCTTTCATGTGTTATTGTGTTCCTTATTTTAAGCTCCGTTCAAGGTAATATTCTATCTTTTACCTAGATTGGTCACTAGCAAAATTTGATTGCTGAAATAAAATTACAATAAATAAAATAGAGAATAAATGGGATAAGTAGTTTCAAAAAAAAAGTTTAACAAAAGTAATTATGATAAGTATATTATGGCTTCGAATGGTTAGCAAAGAAGAGCAAATCATTCGCATATGTAGTTTTTCCACATGCAGTATTTCTGCACTGCATTTACCCTTTAATTTTTTTTCTTATTTTAAATTGCAGATAAAGGGATATATGTATTCAGTTCATATTCATTTACCACTGAACGTTTTCTATACATTAAGTGTTGTTTATCCATTTTTAATATTCTTGGCCAATACATGATTTGTTACAAACATTGAGTTTTAAAATGTATTTATCTGCTTTTTTAAGTACAATATTTTCATCATATTTTATTTACAACTTTGACAATATAAAAACTATCATGGTCTACTTATTTTTTTCATATATTTTTTTACATTTATTTAAATTATTATATTTATATAATGTTTGTTTTAATTATGATATGTATTATGAAATTATATAGTAATATAATTTAGGTATGTATATTAATGTAGGAGATATATATTTCATTAAAATTTATTGTTTTCATATTTTGATTTTAAAATTGCAATAAAATGGTTTAGTGTAATATTTATTATTATTTATGTATTATATTTATATATAGTGTGTTTTGATATATTTTATTGTATTTTTTAAACATACTTGTTTCGCTTGCTATGCACCACTTGAACTGTTTTTGTCATCGCAACCTAGAACAACTCCCTCTAAAAATTCTCACATGAGTTTAAAAATAAATAAAAAATACAAAAGAAAAAAGTTTGAAAGAGTCAAGGGAACAAATTTTCAGGTGTTGTACTTTTAATTTAAAACCTCTATTGTCCAGTTATCAAATTGTAAGATCCCCTCCAACAACAATATCTAGAAGAGATTCTAAGGATTTTAAAAATTATAATAAAATTAGGAGGAAAAAAAAACTAAAAGTTCTGATTTCAGAGGTTTTAAGAAACTGTCCTCATACCTAAGGTACAAATGTCAACACATGAAAAAATAGTGTTTTTACTGGTTTAAAGAAAATAAAACATAAAAAATAGCAATACTATTTATTTAGAAACTCATATAGAAGTGGAGTTAATTTTCAAAAAATAATAATTATAATATTCAAAAAACATATTAAAATAATAGCATTTGTGGCTAAAAACTTAGTTTAGGAATTTCATCGTTAAGGTTGCTCTTAGATGAAATAGTCTTCTTTAAATTTGTGTGTTTTTAATTAGGGAAATATGCTAATTTGGAACAACTTATGTTAGGTGTTGTCCCATTAGAACTAAATCGATTTTTGCCCATTTTTGATTTTAACTACCCTTACACTTTATAAAAATTCATATCAATTAATTGAAATACAAATAAAATAAAAAAAAATAAAAAATACAAAACATGATCTTAACATACATAAACACTTATGAAAAATATAAAGATAAAAAAATTAAGCTTGGAAGACCAACTTCAATAACATTCTAAAGATGGTAGAAGATACGATCCACCATCTACGGTGAATTAGATGGTAGATTCTTCGAAGAAAACAAAAGTCTGGTAGAATTAGAAACCGCAATATGCCAAACTTGCTTCCATCTAATCAGGTAGAGATTACAATCTAATATTTCTGCTCTCTTCTACAAAGTGGCAGATCACATCGTCTAAAGTTTACTATGTTTCTACCAATGGTAACATTTACATTCTACGCTTTTCA